TGATTTCGATTCATAATTTTCTGAATCGATTAATTAAAGAAGAACCCGTCCAGAGGACCTATACAATTTTTTTTCCTTTGATTTTTTACCTGGATTACTGAGATGCATCAGGACATGTCCTCACTTTGTTGGTTAAAAACTCAGGCTGGGTCTCATGGCCAATTCTCTAGATCCATTTGATTTCGATTCATAATTTTCTGAATCGATTAATCACGATTTGATTCAGTTCGATTCGATCTGATCTGCTCTTAAATAATGAAAATGTTCAGCTGTGTTGTAAAATACAATATCGCTTCTTCCTTTTCAACATAAACAACAGGTTTCAAGGACAAACTTTTAAATTAAACAGTTTAATCCTGAAGGAAAACTGTCACAAATTAAAATGTTTTAAATTAAAAAGGAATGGCAGGTGACAGTGTTGTTGGAGGAATTCATTTTTAATAAATTAATAATTTTCTTGAGAAATAAGAAGTGATGGAATAAGGTTGCAGGAGAAAAGGCGAGCTAATATAAATATACTTCTGCCCACTCCTTTGGAGTGTAAGAAAACTGTATATTTGTAATGTTTCTGTTAGCTTCTGTTACGTTCAATATAACTTATTAAAACTTGTTACTTTTTAAAACAAACAGTACAACTACAACATTTCATCACTGTGGATTTCATTAAAGGGATCCCTGATTAGTTGGAACGTTACGTAACGTTGTTGTTGTTGTTGTTGTTGTTGTTGTTGTTGACGCTCCTGCTTGTCCTGCTGTCTCTCAGAGGACATCTTCCCGTGTAAGGACTGTGGGATCTGGTACCGCAGTGAGAGGAACCTGCAGGCCCACCTCATGTATTACTGCGCCAGCCGTCAGAAGCAGCCGGCGGCGGCCTCGTCTCCGCTGCAGGACAAGCCCAAAGACTCGTACCCCAACGAGCGCGTGTGCCCCTTCCCGCAGTGCAACAAGAGCTGCCCCAGTGCCAGCTCCCTGGAGATCCACATGCGCACCCACAGCGGTGAGAGCCGAGTCCAGGTCCAGACCTGAGGAGGTTCTGGGCGTCAGATTTTAACTTCCTGTTTGTGTCCTGTCTCCAGGTGAGCGTCCGTTCGTCTGTCTCATCTGCCTGTCGGCCTTCACCACCAAGGCAAACTGTGAGCGCCACCTGAAGGTCCACACGGACACCCTGACCGGGGTCTGCCACGGCTGCGGCTTCGTGTCCACCACCAGGGACATCCTCTACAGCCACCTGGTCACCAGCCACATGGTGTGCCAGCCCGGGTCCCGCAGCGAGGTCTACTCTCCAGGTCCAGGCCTTCCCAAGCTGCCCCTGTCCACAGGTAAGCCCCGCCCCCCACCTGGACCGGCACCAGGGTTCTGAAGTGGCTCTAACTCAGGGTTCCTGCAGAGCCTTAAAAAGTTTTAAAAGGCATTGAATTCATCGATCCAAAATTAAGGCCTTAATTAGCCTTAAAAGGTCTTAAATCAACCTTTCAGAAGTCTTAAAAATGCTAACACATTGTACATAGGATGACTGTAATTCGTCTCAAATATTCAAATAATTGGTAAGAATTATTATTTTAAACATTCACCTGCAAATATTCCTGTTTGACATCACTTCCTGTTGCTTCACATGCAAATATCTCAACAACTGTTCATCTGAGCAGTGTGAAATTTATTTTGTAATATGTTATTAATGTTGTCTTTCCAAAAATGCATTAACTTTTCTTACAAATTTTGATGTAAAAGGCACTTAATTGCAAAACAGTGTCCATCTAGCCAACTTTTAAAATCTTATATCAGCCAAAAAGTCTTTTTGATCTTGTTTTGAGTCTGAAACAAGAACAGAATGTGTAAGATTAATAATCTTGTTTCCAGAACTTCTAAGATTATTTATCTTGTTAGYCTGAAAATTTGACTCAAATTAAGTGGAAAAAAATTCAGCCAGTGGAGTAAGAAAATTTTACTTGAAAAGATTCTTGAAATAATTGATTTGACTTCAAGAATCTTACCAAGTAAAGTTTTCTTACTCTAATAGCAGAATTTTTTCCTCTAATTTTGAGTCAAATTTTCAGGCTTGTGCTGCCACCTTATCATGGTGGAGAGGTTTGAGTGTCCCAATGATCCTAGGAGCTATGTTGTTGGGGGCTTCATGCCCCCAGTAGGGTCACCCAAGGTAAACAGGTCCTAGGTGAGGGGTCAGACAAAGTGCAGCCCAAAGACCCCTATGATGAACACAATCAATGGATTCAGTGTTCCCTCGCCCAGACGTGGGTCACCGGGGCCCCACTCTGGAGCCAGGTCTGGAGGTGGGGCACGTTGGAGAGCGCCTGGTGGCCAGGCTTTCACCCATGGAGCCCGGTCGGGCACAGCCCAAAGAGGAGACGTGGGTCCTCCTTCCCATAGGCTCACCACCTGTGGGAGGGGCCGTAGGGGTCAGGTACAATGTGTGTTGGGCAGTGGTTGAGGGTGGGGACCTTGGCGGTCTGATCCTGGTCTACAGAAGCTGGCTCTAGAGACGTGGAATGTCACCTCTCTGGTGGGGGAGGAGCCTGAGCTGGTGTGTGAGGTTGAGAGGTTCAGACTAGATATAGTTGGACTCAACTCGACACACCGCTCTGGTTCTGGAACCAGTCTCCTCCAGAGGGGTTGGACACTCTTCCACTCTGGAGTTGTCCATGCTGAGAGGCACCGAGCAGGAGTGGGCGTACTTATTGTCCCCCATCTCTGTGCCTGTATGTTGGGGTTCACCCCGGTGAACGAGAGGGTAGCCTCCCTCGTGTGTGGGGACAAGTCCTGACTGTTGTTTGTGCCTATGAGCCTAACAGAAGCTCAGATTACCACCCTTTCTGGAGTCCTTGGAGGGGGTGCTGGAGAGCGCTCCTAAAGGGGACTTCACCGTTCACGTGGGTAATGACAGTGAGACCTGGACAGGTGTGGTTGGGATGAACGTACCCCCGATCTGAACCCAAGGGGTGTTTTGTTGTTGGACTTCTGTCCTCGTCATGGATTGTTCATAACGAACACCATGTTCAAACATAAGGGTGTCCAGATGTGCTGTTGGCACCAGGACACCCTAGACTACAGCTCAATGATCGACTGTTGTTGGTTCATCTGATCTGCAGCTGCATGTTTTGGACACTCAGGTGAAGAGAGGGGCGGAGCTGTCAACTGACCACTACCTGGTGCTGAGTTGGCTCCATTGGTGGGGGAGGATGCTGGTCACACCTGGCAGACCCAAACGTATAGTGAGGGTCTGCTGGGAACATCTGAGGAGGTCTTCGTAGTATTCCGCCCACTGACCCACAACGTCCTGAGTTGAGGTCAGCAGTGCACCATCCCCACCATAAACAGTGTTGGTGGTGAACTGCTTTCCCCCCCGCTGAGACGCCAGATGGTGGACCAGAATTGTCTCAAAGACGTACTGAAATCTTTTTCCATGGCCTCTCTGAACTCCTCCCACACCTGAGTTTTTGCCTCAGCGACCACCCGAGCTGCAATCTGCTTGGACTGTCGATACCTATCTGCTGCTTCTGGAGTCCCACAGGTCAAAAAGACCTGACAGGACTCCTCCTTCAGTCTGACAGCATCCCTCACCACCGGTGTCCACCAACGGATTCGAGGGTTGCCGCCATGACAGGCACCGACAACCTTACGGCCACAGCTCAGGTGAGCCACCTCGACAATGGAGGCATGGAACATGGCCCACTCGGACTTAATGTCCCCCACCAACAGAGCCAACTCACCACCAGGTAGTGGTCAGTTGACAGCTCCGCCCCTCTCTTCACCCAAGTGTCCAAAACATGCAGCTGCAGATCAGATGAAACAACAACAAAGTCGGTCATTGAACTGCAGCCAAGGGTGTTTTCCAGGAGCTTGAAGCGGGGTGTCTCTGGAGCTATGAATAGTCTGTGAGAAAACGACTGCTGAACAACCACGTGACCGCACGTCGACTGGTCGCGTCGGAGCGAGTATGTTTCAGGCTTTATGTTTGAACATGGTGTTCGTTATGGACAATCCATGATGAGCACAGAAGTCCAACAACAAAACACCACTCGGGTTCAGATCAGGGAGGGTTCCTCCCAACCAAGCCTCTCCAGGTCTCACTGTCATTACCCACGTGAGCATTGAGGTCCCCCAGCAGAACAAGGAAGTCCCCACTAGGAGCACTCTCCAGCACCCCCTCCAAGGACTCCAGAAAGGGTGGGTAATCTGAGCTTCTGTTAGGCTCATAGGCACAAACAACAGTCAGGACTTGTCCCCACACACGAGGGAGGCTACCCTCTCGTTCACCGGGGTGAACCCCAACATACAGGCACAGAGATGGGGGGCAGTAAGTACGCCCACTCCTGCTCGGTGCCTCTCAGCATGGACAACTCCAGAGTGGAAGAGTGTCCAACCCCTCTGGAGGAGACTGGTTCCAGAGCCAGAGCGGTGTGTCGAGGTGAGTCCAACTATATCTAGTCTGAACCCCTCAACCTCACACACCAGCTCAGGCTCCTCCCCCCACCAGAGAGGTGACATTCCACGTCTCTAGAGCAGCTTCTGTAGCCGAGGATCAGACTGCCAAGGTCCCCGCCCTCAACCACTGCCCAACACACATTGTACCTGACCCCTACAGCCCCTCCCACAGGTGGTGAGCCCATGGGAAGGGGGACCCACGTCTCCTCTTTGGGCTGTGCCCGACTGGACTCCATGGGTGAAAGCCTGGCCACCAGGCGCTCTCCAACGTGCCCCACCTCCAGACCTGGCTCCACAGTGGGGCCTCGGTGACCCACGTCCAGGCGAGGGAACACTAAGTCCGTCCATCGTATTCATCATAGGGGTCTTTAAAAGTCTTAAATTTAAATTCACTTTGCATTAAAAAGTCTTTGAAAGTCTTAAATTTAACTTGCTTTAAACTGTAGGAACCCTGTAACTCGTCCTGTCTCCTCCAGGTCTGAGTCCAGGAGACTCCGGGGTGGTCCTCAAGTGTCAGGTCTGTGGACACAACTCTGACTCCCCTTCCCAGCTGCAGCAGCACGTCCGAACTCACCTGGAAGTCAGAGTCCCGACTGAGCGAAGCCCTGCCCCTCGCCAGAGTACCCCCCACTCCACGGACCAGCCACAGCTGTCCCCGCAAGACCAGGAGCTCCCGGTCTCTGTCCTCAAACCAGAGTCCTCCAGTCCAGACCTTAATGGAGGGTCAGCCACGCCTCCACACTACAGTTCTCCTGATCTGGACCTGAAGATCAAGGAGGAACCTGAGTCTGAGACAGAGGACCATCAGGTGGAGCTGAGAGACCATGGAGACCAGAATCCTGATGAGGGTCCACCAGAGACCAAACAAGAAGCAGTGGTCTTGTCCTCCTGCCAGACCTCAGCTTCTCCACAGAGTCCAGTCCACCCCACAGTCAAGGCAGAACCCACCAGTCCCACTCCAGGCTCCAGTCCTGCTCCGATGGTCCCAGGGGGGGCTCTGTTTCTGCCTCAGTACATGTTCAGCCCTGAGGCTGCCATCCTGCCGCAGGCCTCCGAGATCCTGGCCAAGATGTCAGAGATGGTCCACAGCCGGCTGAAGCACGGTCAGACTGTTGTCCAGAACAACCCGGCTGCCTTCTTCCCGTCCGGACCACCTGCGGGGACCACCACGGCGGCTCCGCCTCCCAAAGGAGCCACCTGCTTCGAGTGCGACATCACCTTCAACAACATCAACAACTACTACGCACACAAGAGGCTCTACTGCTCCAGCAGGCATCAGGGGGACGGCCCCAGCTCCGGGTCTGGACCCACGCCTCCCAGCGGACCACCTGGATCCTCTCCTCAGGTGGGGGCCTCAAGCCGAGCGGCTTCCGCCTCCCCAACCGACTCAGAGCCTCCTGCAGGCAGCGGGGCGGCAGACACCACGAGGCAGGTGGAGATGAAGAGCGAAACGTCGTCTGCAGGCAGAGAGGGGGTCTCCTCCTCCTCTGAAGGGGAGGGGGGAGGAGGAGGGGGAGGAAGAACGAGCGAAGGCAGCCCGAGTCCTGTTAGCGGTTCTGCAGAGGACCAGGAAGAAGACCCCAACAAAACCTTCTGCGAGGCCTGCAACATCCGCTTCAGCCGGCATGAGAACTACACAGTGCACAAACGGTTCTACTGCGCCTCGCGCCACGACCCGTCCAACCAGCGCTCCGGACACGCCAAGACCCCCGCCGCCACCGCCTTCCTTCCTCAGCCCATCCGCACCCGCAAGAGGAAGAAGATGTACGAGATCCACATGGCCCGGAGCGAGGCGCTGGCTAACGCCGCTGCCGCCTCAGCTGCCGCCGCCGCTCCGTCTCCCTCCGTGCTGGGCCTGGTGGTCAAACAGGAAGTGTCTCCTGGGGGCGCCGGCAGCTCCAGCCCCGAGAGAGACGGCCCCATCGACCTGAGCAAGAGACCCCGCCTGAGGGAGACCCCCCGTCAGGGCGGCATCCTGCCAGCCCTGCCTTTGAGCGACTACCACAAGTGCACGGCGTGCAGCATCAGCTTCAACAGCATCGAGAACTACCTGGCCCACAAGACCTACTACTGCCCCGCCACCAGCCTGCAGCCCACCAGCCTGCAGCCCCCCACCCTGCAGCCCCGCAGTCTGGAGCAGCTGCACCGCCTCCACAGGTCCGCCTCCACCTCCCCCAAGAGCCGGCCCCAGCAGGAGCCCCTGGACCTCCTGCACCCCGTCGAGGCCAAAGCTCTGCCTGCCGAGTGGGCCGCCCAGACCCGGGGGGCCTCGTCCAGCCCCCACTCCTCAGCTTTACCCGCCTCTGGAGCCACGTCCCCCGCCCTCGCAGCCACCCCCGCAGCCGGAGCCGGAGCCAAGGGGGCCGGTTCCTCCCAGGTGGTCTGCCCATACTGTCCCAACAGGACCCTGACCTGTGACCTGATGGAGCACTTCAAGACCACTCATGGTCTGCTTGTGACCATCCAGCCCCCCCTGGAGACCCCCCCTCCGGCGGGCAGGTCCAGCCCCAGCCTCAGTCCCAGAGATGGACCCACCCCCACCAGCCAGGCCCGGCAGGGCTCCAGAGTCCACAAAGACAGCCTGAACGGTCAGGCCAGAAGCAGGGGGGCGTCCCCCGCCTCCCCCCTGCTGAACGGCAGCCCCTCCCTCGGTGGGGACTCCCCTTTAGCTGCCTCCCCTCTGCCCGTCTCCCCTCCCCACGCCCCCTCCCTGACCGTGTCACCTGATGCTCTGAAGGTGGCGTCCACTCAGCTGGCAGAGCACAGCGCCCCGCCCGCCCCCCCCTCGGGCCCTAAGACCCCCCCGGTCTCCACGGTCCAGAACGGGAACTCCCGCTTCTGTCGGCTGTGCAACATCAAGTTCAGCAGCCTGTCCACCTTCATCGCCCACAAGAAGTACTACTGCTCCTCCCACAGCGCCGAGCACGTGAAGTGAAGCCTTCTGGCCCTCCTGCAGGGGGCGGGGCCACACCCTCTGACTGTTACACCTGGCGGCAGGTGATTCCTGGGACGGGTATCTGTCTGTGGCACACTAAGCTGGGACGGACGTCCTCGGCGTTGATGGCGGGACGTTAAACAGTTTCCTCCGCCTCGGCTGTGATGGACACTTTAAGGCCACGCCCCTCTGAGGACCGTGGGCCTGCTCCCACACTGACTCCGGTCTGTCGTCATGTTACTAACGACTGAAGGATGCTCTTGTTCCCTCCTGAGGGAAATATTTATCTTTGAGTCCTCACTGATTTCACGTCAACACAAACTACCTGCCTGTCTGAGACTGTTTGTATTTTTGGTTTGTATCTTTTTCGTACTGTTGGGAGGAGTGTGATGTGTTGAAGTGTGACTGTTCCGTCTCGAGGTAACCGCTGGGATCACGCTGAATTTATTAGCATTTTGTTAGCGCCGCGTTTGTTGCAGGTAGACGACAAAAACTTTTCAGACTTTAGTTTCCGGGCCGTTCACGTTTGTTTTTATATGAATGATTTTCTGGGTAATGAAGGCACAGCAGAGGCGTTAGCGTTAGCATTAGCGTTAGCGTTCATGCAGCAGAACAGTGTTAGCTAAAAACTGTAAAAATACTTTCTATTTTCCACTGATGATGCAAAAACAAAAGGAGGTCTGAGCACTCGCTGTGGGGGGGCCGGCCCTGATGTTTGGAACACGCCGTCAGAGAAGCAGTCTGATTGGCTGATGAACAGTTTGGCTCCGCCCAGTGAGCATCAGCCTCTTTTTAACTGAAAAAGACTGATAATGTGACCTTTATCACATTCATGTCTTTTCTTTTTTCAATTTCTCTCAGGATTTAGCTGGTTTTGTTTTTCTCTCTTCTCATTTGGGTTTTAGAGTTTTTGTCGGCACTAAGTTGAGTCGTGACCTTCAGCAGAACCCGAGCCGAAAGCGTCCTGTAAATAACTTTGGTTCTGAGCTGTTGGCAAAAAGAAAAAGAGCCTTTCTCTTTTTCCATTAGGAGATCGATTAAAGGTCTGATCTGTGGGCTTTAGTGACATCTGGTGGTCAGAAGAAGAACTACAACCTGACTTTATAGAACTTTAAACTGGTTTAATGAAACAACAGAAAGAAGTTAATTTAGAAAAGTTTATAAAACTTTCATAAAAATTTGTCTTCATGTGCTACAGCCAACCTGCTGCTGTAAATCTGGACCTGCTCCTGGACTGGGCTTGTTTCCTGTCCAGCGGGTTGGTCAGACAGGAAGTGATGTCATTAAGTCCCACACTGAGGACCTTGTGAATGTTTTTGTTCGGAGCTCCTCTTTGTACTTACGTTACGCAGCACTTTTGTTTCCTCAGCGCTCCTCGAAGGACTTCCTGAAACATCTGAACTTCACTCAAAGTGTTTTTATTAGATTTCATCCTGTTTTCTTTTGTAACGGAGAAAATCACAACGAATGTCAACATTTTATTTCCTTTCTCTGAGCTTTGGTTTCTGTTCAGCTCCACTACACTCGTGTCCAAACTATGCATGGAAATAAAAAGTTCTGAGAGACGCAGACTGACGAAGAGTTTCTTTCTGACAGGAAGTCCTTGACTCCTCAGAGGGCGGCGTCACTGCGAACGCTTCCTTTCACGGGAAAATGTTCAGAATGTTGTTTTTGTGTGGCGGTGAAGAAACGCTGCAGTGAGTCATCAGCTGTGCTTTTAAAAAGCTCTCAGGGCCGATTCTTCTCTTTCAGAACAACCTTCAGCTCTGAATTCACTTCAAGTGTCACACCTGGCCTTCACTGCACCCAAAACATGCCTTTGATACCCCAGAGGAACTTCTTTCTCTTGGTCCTTTCAAAATAAAGTGCCACAATTACATCAGCTTCAAAATAAAAGACAAGGCAAACTCCCCTTTTTATTTTAAACCTGTTTACAGCCGAAATAATCTGCAAAATATCAGTCGTCCAGGTCCTGGATCACTTCCTGTTCTGATTAAAGTCCAACATCCAGAGTCTGATCCAGAACCTCAGTCTGATCCAGAACCTGAGTCTGATCCAGAACCTGAGTCTGATCCAGAACCTGAGTCTGACCCTCAGTCTGATCCAGAACCTGAGTCTGATCCAGAACCTGAGTCTGACCCTCAGTCTGATCCAGAACCTGAGTCTGATCCAGAACCTGAGTCTGATCCAGAACCTGAGTCTGACCCTCAGTCTGATCCAGAACCTGAGTCTGATCNATCTTATACTCAGGATTAAATATCTTACACTCAGGATTAAATATCTTATACTCAGGATTAAACATCTTATACTTGGATTTAGCTTCTTATACTCAGGATTAACCAGTCTATACTCAGGATTAAACATATTATGCTCAGGATTAAACATCTTATACTCAGGATTAACCATTTTATACTCAGGATTAAACATATTATACTCGGGATTAAACATATTATACTCAGGATTAAACATCTTATACTCCGGATTAAACATTTTATAGTCAGGATTAAACATATTATACTCAGGATTAAACATNAGTCTGATCCAGAACCTGAGTCTGATCCAGAACCTGAGTCTGATCCAGAACCTGAGTCTGACCCTCAGTCTGATCCAGAACCTGAGTCTGATCACATTAATAAAATTATAATTTACAAAATAAGAGTTTCTGTCTCACAGCACGATCTGTCTGAAGATGAAGAAGCTGTTTACAGCAGATGGAGCTAAAAGATTAACAGGATTAAACATTTTATACTCAGGATTAAACTTCTTATACTCGAGACTAAACTTTTTATACTCAGTATTAAACATATACTCAGAATTAAACATATTTTACTCAGTATTAAACATCTTATACTCAGGATTAAATATCTTACACTCAGGATTAAACATCTTATACTCAGGATTAAATATCTTACACTCAGGATTAAATATCTTATACTCAGGATTAAATATCTTACACTCAGGATTAAATATCTTATACTCAGGATTAAATATCTTACACTCAGGATTAAATATCTTATACTCAGGATTAAATATCTTACACTCAGGATTAAATATCTTATACTCAGGATTAAACATCTTATACTTGGATTTAGCTTCTTATACTCAGGATTAACCAGTCTATACTCAGGATTAAACATATTATGCTCAGGATTAAACATCTTATACTCAGGATTAACCATTTTATACTCAGGATTAAACATATTATACTCGGGATTAAACATATTATACTCAGGATTAAACATCTTATACTCCGGATTAAACATTTTATAGTCAGGATTAAACATATTATACTCAGGATTAAACATTTTATACTCAGGATTAAACATATACTCAGAATTACACATATACTCAGGATTAAACATATACTCAGAATTAAACACCTTATACTCAGGATTAAATGTCTTATACTCAGGATTAACCATCTTATACTCAGAATTAAACACCTTATACTCAGGATTAAACATATACTCAGGATTAAGCAGACCTTCAGATGTTTTAGCTGCTTTTCTTTTCCTGACTCCATCAGCCTCTGACCCGACTGCAGCCCGGAGGCCTCGTCATGCAGCACACCGTCTGCTCAGGAAATCTGGACTCAGTTGGACCAGAGTTCAGATTGAGGTCTTTGTCAATCCTTCACAGATGGATCCGATCCAGGACCTGGGTCTGATTTAAGAGAAATTGCATTTTTGACAGACTGTCTTTAAAAAGTCTGATTTGAGCCCCGTTTACCTGCAGCTGAGTGTAGACTTGGAGGGACCAGGACCGAGGGAAACCAGGCAGCTCAAAGACCAGGAAGGATCAGAGCTCAGGTCTTCAGGCTGCAGCTGAAGTTTTCTGAGGGAGACTTCATTATCTCTGCCTCCGTTCTCCAGCTCGTCTGTTTCATCTGATGGAAAAGTTATTTTCTCTGAACTTTCTGAAGATTTTTATCTTCTTCACCTGCAGACATGATGTCATCAGCTGAAGCACGAGAGGAAATACCTCACAAACAGCTAAAATAATGAAATCATCTGGTGGGTTTCAGGTCCTTCATCATGAAATCAGGTCGACCCTCCACAGTCAGAGAGTTAGTCATCACCTTCCACCATGGCTGACTAACAGAACCGAACAGAACCCGCTCAGCACCAGAGGAATGAAGGTTTTATTCATTTAAACCTGGTTTGATCTGAAAGAAAACAAACTCTCTCTGGAGGCGTGCATGTCGCCCGCCACCAGAAACGGATTTATTCAAACAGATGAAACCAGATGAAACGATGAACTTTAAGTGTTGAAACAAACCTGACACTCAGGTGCAGCTCATCAGAATTCATCACGTCCTCACAAAGGGAGACGTGCGCCTCAAACTGAGCTGACCACCAAACAGTTTGTTCACATTCAGGTTCAGAGACGTTTTAAATGACTTCCTGTTGGTTCCTTATTTTAAATCCTGAACCTTTTCCTCCACAGCAGCAGTTCTAATGGTCGAATTATGAATCTGTGACTCATACCTGCTTCAAACACACCAAACATGGAGGTTTGTTAAACGAACTGAAGCGCCTTCACACTCTCCACCCACAGTTCTGCACCTTCTCCTGGTTTCCATGGAGACCAGTAACGAGTCGATCTGTAAAACAACAAACATCCCAAAATAATCTGAGCTCAGGTGTGTGAGAGCAGCAGACAACAGGACAAACAGGAAGTCCAGCCCCTTTACCTGGACACGTGTCCAGTCCCTAACAGGGACATGTGGACAGGTGTTTCTCTCACTCAGGGGCAGAGTCCCCACTAGGTGTTTTTCAACAGACTCGGTTCTCTTCGGGTCCACCCCAGTCCAATCAGGTTAAGGTCTTGCTGTCGGATCCCACCCCCTGTCGGCCCGGTTTGTGGAACCTCCTCTGAGGCAGTGCTGTGGGTTCCCAAAGGGTGTAGCAGTAGCTGATTGGCCAGTGGAGCTACATGGACCCCCATGGATGAGGTAAATTAATCCACCTTAATATCGTGAATTAATCCACCTTAACACCATGTGTTAATCCACATTAACATCATGTGTTAATCCACCATAACATCATGTGTTAATCCACCTTAACATCATGTGTTAATCCACCTTAACATCATGTGTTAATCCACCTTAACATCATGTGTTAATCCAACTTAACATGTGTTAATCCACCTTAACATGTGTTAATCCACCTTAACATGTGTTAATCCACCTTAACATGTGTTAATCCACCTTAACATCATGTGTTAATCCACATTAACATGTGTTAATCCACATTAACATCATGTGTTAATCCACATTAACATCATGTGTTAATCCATCTTAACATCATGTGTTAATCCACATTAACATCATGTGTTAATCCACATTAACATCATGTGTTAATCCACATTAACA